CACACCTTTACCAAGTGTTTTGTGTTTTCAGAAGCGTCCAGGTATAACACAGTGTGTGGTAACATGTTTCTGCAGTGGTTGATGCATGAAGCATGCTATGTCTCCTTACTGAGCACAGTGATTGTTAGGAGGGACTGCAGTATGAATATAAATACGGATAATCTATATTACTAATTTCTGTTTTGAAGATTCAAAAAAGATTTACCTACCAATTAATGAAACCGGTCAAAGGTAAGCTGTTCATGAGCACACTCCCTTCACACACTCCTTCTCTGTGGTGTTTGAGTCTCTCAGAACTCTCAGCCTTGGAATCCTGTGATGGAAAAGGAAGTTAGTCTCCACATTATGTATGTAGCAAAACCAACAAGCCTGATAGATAGAAAGGGAGTGGAATGTAAGTGGAATGCTGGTCTGCATGGATATGAAACTGTCTGTCTCAAGGTTTTGCAGGACATACAATGTGCACATGCACGTAAGATGTACAGATAGATAAATAGATAGATAGATAGATATAGGTATTTGTGAAATAATTTTACTCTTGCTATTGCAGGTTTCACTTCAGAAAGTAGATCTTAATGCAAGATTGTAAGAGTCCATCCTTTTGAACATGCATATGATAATGCCCACTAATAAATAGATTTTTTTTCTTCTAATAAGGACAATATTTCTTATTATTGCTTTTAATAGTCACCTTAGATATTGTGATTCCTGGAATAGTGACGAACCATTTCAGCAAAAAGATCAGCCTGTGTGATCATGCTGTCATAAGGCTTGACATCACTGCTCTTGACTGGACCACTCCACTTCTCTTCAAGTAATACGCCTGATTTCAGCAGCAGTATTTGAAGAGAAAGAGGCTGCTTCACAGTATGAGAACGGGTCGTACAACTTGGCCTGTAATCCTTTACTGTGAGGTTTCTAGGGGGGCGGGGGGAAGGAGGAAGAGCATTTATTTCAAAGAAAGAATATTACTGCTCTCATCTCATATTAACATTGGAAGTAGTATTTTAGTGAACTATACAGTGTACTTTAGTGTACACTGTAGTACACAGCTAGATACACCGGAATGAAGTGAACCTCATCCCATTTGGATTTCTTCCATCTAATTTTGTTTTCCAAAGCTACACCCAGAGAGGTGAGGATACACAAAGAGGATAACCTAGACAGAGATGAACAAAGCCATAGCCCCTGACTGGAGGACTTGCTCTTATGGCTAGCTCTTTTTCAGGGCACAAAAACAAAACAGGAAACTCCTTGTGTCCTACCATCTTGTGCATATGCACATGGACCTATCTCATTTCACTTTTTCAAACATTTGTTTCTTTTAGTTTGTGAATATTGTGTAATTGTGTTCCTTTTTGTTTGTTTCTTTCAGAATGTTCTAATTGTGGAGGTAAGTTGGGTGCTTATGTCGTATTATCCTTAGGTAAAGTCACATAGTCAAGGTGTGATTGTGTGTTCAGTTTCTAAAACCCGTGTGTGTTTACACTTTTATAGCTGGGAGGTGGTGAAGAGGAGGAGGGGTTGATTTGCTTAATGACCTCTCAGTCTTTTTGCAACTGCATGATGGATCAAACTATGCTGCTGCCGCTCTAATTTGTGCTGTGCCTTCTGATACCCAGGACTCTGTTTCCGCATCATTTGATTTGCTCTTTCTATGGTTTCATCAACTCCTGTTCTACAAGTTGTTCTGTTCCTTGGAGAACAATGAATCAACTGCAGTGATGCCCTACACTTCTCAGTTGCATGAATTGGAAATAGTAGCATAGCCCTGCACATGCTTTACAACTTCAGGGTTGTTGACGTGCTGGTTGAGAATGCCAGTCATTCTCTCGAGTCCCTGTGACTTCTGCTCATTAGCATTGCATCCTGCCGTGTCCCCAGGGAGGGCCCATCACAGATATGTTGCTGATATAAATCAACAGTGTTCAACTGTAGAGGAAAAGAATGTGTCACCTCCTTGGTACTGTAAATTCTCTCTTAATTAATGTACATGATTCTCTTTTAAAATGTTGGAAAAGCAACTGGGACAGTTGGAGAGCGTGTCAGGATCTGACTGGTATTTCAGGCCCAGTCTGCTTGTGTCAAAGCAAGCTGAAGGAAATGTATAAATGTTGGAATGTCTTTCCTTAGTAAAGGAAGGGAAAAAAAGTCATCAGCTACAGAGATTGCTGGTTACCTAAATAGCTGCCAGGAGCTCCGTGTTTGCTAATACTAACTGCTGTTAACAGAAATGAAAAACGTCCGCAGCAAATTTTGTTAATGCTATTGGTCAGCTGGGGAGCAGAGTCAAGGGGTTGCTAATCAAAAATCCACACCTACAGAGTTCAGGATCAACAGCTGCTCTCCGTGTTGTGGTCAGTTTTGTAACCAGGTATGTGCTGATCTCATTCAGATCAGGTTGAGTACAGCAGCTTTGGAGAATACTCATTGGTACGGAACTAATTAAACAACAAATAGGACAGATTTAGCCCTGACATGGAGAGATGTTGGCATACTGGGATCTTGAGCATCATATGAAAAGTCTGATCCCTGCGTCCATGCAGTGCTCAGTAAAGTCATCTCCAGTCTCATGTTACATCTCAAGTACTAGAAACATAGCTATTTTCAAGAGGAAGTGGACAGTCCTTTAACTGATTATTTTATGAGTAGAAAGTGCTTGCTTCAAAGAGTGTGAGCTCAGTTATAACCTTTTTTGTATGTGGCTCACAATACACTGGCAAAAATACATCATTTCCACCAAACAAGAAGGTGGAACTCCTCAGTCATTGTCCAGATTTCCTCTTTTCAGCTTTCCTTTGTTTTTTACTTATTCTATTTTTCATATTTTGTAAGGATATTGTTGGAACGGGAAGGACTATGAAGGTTCTGCTTCATAATATAGAAAAATACAAGCCAAAAATGATTAAAGTGGCAAGGTGAGTAGAACGATCACAAAACTTAGTTACTAAGTAGTCTAGCCCAACATATTTTCCAGTGGGGGTTCCCATTTCAACATACTGCTTCCATTTGATGCTGCAGTATCGCACGGGAAGCTCTGCAGAGGAGCTGCCTGAGTCACTAAGAGGAGGGTGGAGGAAAGGAGAGGAAATGGTTTTGTACTGTTCTGCAGTGGCAGTGACCCTTCAGCCATTTCAGGACTGGCACTGATGGACTTTGAAGGGGAACACATCCATCTCCTCCCGGCCATCAGGATGTGGTCGGGAGGAGAAGCAGAATGAGAACAGTGATTCACATGGCTCAGAAGTTTTTTTGATAAAAGGAATAGTTTTTATGCATGTATTCAGGTAAATATCTAGATTTACATGGGGTTTATTTTGTTTTTAATTGCAGTTTGTTGGTGAAAAGAACATCTCAGCCTGATGGGTACAGACCAGATTGTAAGTGGTGTTGTGAAAATCTGTACTTGGCAGTACAAGAAGTTACCTGTATTCTACCACTTGCCTTCCATATCAGTCTATGGACTGCTAGAGGCTTTGTAAAACATCAGTTGTCCATGGGACCATGGGATGCAATGGAAGGATGTGCATAATTGTGGTTTGGAAAGCCTAGCCTCCTTATAGTCAGCTGTTTTCTGCAGAGTACTAACTTTATCAGGAAGTTATGAAAGAGTTTAATTTTACCCATGAAAGGTGAGTGGTTTATCTTCTGTCTCTGACAAACTATATGGAAAAGAAAGTCCATTTCTTCCTTTTCCTTCCTCATTGCATCTCTCTGGAGGAGCTGCAGGATTCCATCTGAATAGGAAAGGTGTTTTATCGTGACCTAGTTATTCACAAGTTTTACATTTTTATAACAGAATAACATTTTTTATTATTTTTTGAAAAGTTATTATTGCTTAAAGGGTAAACATATTATAATGTTTATATTATAATTAAATCCAGCCCCCCAAAAAGCAAAAGATAAATTGAGCTTTTTAAACTTCCTCCTGCTGCTGTTTGTGCCACACGAGCACCATTTCTCTCTGAATAATTGCTACTTGTACTGTGCTATGATGAAGCCATAAATGGAGCTATACCAAGCTATTGCCATTTTAGGCTTGTTAGAATAAATGATGTAATAACAGATATGTGGCTAAATACTGAAAAGAACAGATCCATCTAGAAGAGATCGGCCAGTATTTACTACTGAAGAAGGCTGTGGTCAGCTGAACTGGGGAGGAGGGTAGAAGGAGAGTAGGCAGGTGAGTACCAGGAGGCAGCATGAGGGGTCTTGATTTGGGATGTGGGAGAGAGGGAAACTTTATGAAGCAAAAGTTATTCACTGTTGGGCATGACCCTGTGGTTTTAGCCCGATAATCTGAACTGCAACTAAAGCATTTTGGTATAAAATTTTTTATACAGTGGTATTTTTAACTTTTAGAATTTAATCCAGTAAATTAAAGTATATGTTCAACTGGATTCACTAATGTTAAGCATATAAAAAATACAATAAAATTACTTCATGAAGAGTGGCTTAATACTTTTATGTAGTAACTTGTAAAATGAAACAGGCTTTATCCTTGTTTATTCATACTGTGATGAATTTTATAAAACATCAGAGGTCACTCCTGTAAATTACTGACAGTGCTGTGTCGGCACTCAAATTTATAATTCCAAAGTGTCTATTACTCACAATTTTTAACAACTGAATAAATTCCCTACTTGAATACCTGTAAAATTTTTTTATGCTGACCTATTTTTGTGTCCATAAGGTTGTGTTTTTCTCTCATTACTTAGTGAATAATAGGGAAAAAAGAGTCTAACTTGTTTTATAAGGTGCTTGTTTTATAAGGTTTTTTATCAAAAAGATACCTGCCTATGCTTAGCCCGAAGTGTGCGAGTTGTGTGATTAAGCTACACTGCATGCATTTACTTTGTTAAGCATGTTTGTGAGTCTTCATAAGGTTGGGGCTTTAATTTAAGAAGCATTTGACATGTTTTGGTAGTATAACATGCAAAATAGTTTTTGCTACTCTCAGAAGAAAATATATAAACCTCTGAAAGTTACTTCTGAATTAAAATTACACTTTTTTCATCATTAATGTGATACTGGTCAGCTGTCATCACACACGCATACCAATGGCACTTCCAAATTTTGGCAGAATTTTTTAGCTCTGATTTTGGCTTCCTTCCACAATGTGATAATTGTACACACCTCTCCTACTCTCTGCTGACGATTCACATGCCTGTCACGGTCGATGAGCAGGAGCCATCTGTAGGGCTGCAGCTGACCTGGATGCCTCAGAGTCAAAAGTAACGTAACCTGAACTGACTACGTATATCTATAGTTTGCTTGTCAGAGAACCAACACATGAATTTGAGGGCTATATAACAACCATCTATCCTGTATTGATGATGTTCTTTATTTGTCTCAATACAGATTACGGATTTGAAATTCCAGATTTATTTGTGGTAGGTTATGCCTTAGACTACAATGAGTACTTCAGAGATCTAAATGTAAGTTTCTTTAAAAACAATTTTTAAAATCGCTGTTTTACTTTTCCAGGGTCTGAAAGACCCCATAAGTTGCTTTCTCTCCTTAATGTCATGGTTGGGATCATTTCAGTGAATGTAGAACTCCCTGCAAAACCTCGAGTCATGCAGAGGTGTGACTGCTCAGCACTGTGAACAGTTCCTTCCCACCTCTTCCCCCCAGAGCAGAAGTCATAACCTCTGCTACACTTCCATCTTCTGTGAGCCTGGGACTTCACAGGTCGATCGTTCCCAGTTTGTGCAGAGACAGCAGTAAAAAGTGAAACACACCTACACTTCAGACAGCTTTGGACTTTTACTGCTGTGCTGCCCACCCCTTTTCTCAGTGAGATAATGATGGAAAAAAGGTGCAAGCCTCGCCTTTGCTTCCTGTGGTGCTCCCAGGGGTGGACCTCAAAGCTGGGAATTGCAAGTGGAAAAACTTGCTGTAGCTAGAAAGTGAAATCAGAATTTGGTTCCAGGTCTCTGGAAAGGAAGGAGTAATTACAAGATCACTAGATTGGTCAAATGAAAATATGTCTGAACAATTCATTACTAATGTATTCAACTATACTGTTGCAATCAGTGTTATATTTTTTTCAGCACATATGTGTCATCAATGATCATGGCAAAGCAAAATACAGAGTCTGAAGCAGTGACATCCTCACCTGAAGATTTGTAAGCTCAGTGAAGCAGAAATTTGACTACACTCCCTCAAGCATCTCCAGAAGAGCCGTTTGACTGGCTTGTGTTTCTTTCAACTTGCTATAAGAAGGTGTTTACTCTAGAGATACTGATTAACATTTACAGAAGTGAGAGTTCTTATCTAAAATGTGAAGTAGAAGGCTTTTAAAGTTATTACATTTCTAAGTGTTAAAATTACCACATAAGATGCCTTGTGACTAATACAAGTCTCCTTGTGAGTGAATCTTTTCTTTGCTCAGTCCATTGTTCTACCCATTGCAATTCACGTACGTCATGTTGCATGAGATCACTCAAAAGTGCCATTCTGTGCATGAAGATTATTTTACAGAATTGTATTGACTTCAGCATCCCTGTCAGATATGCTGCTGCCAAATCAAAAGCATTATTTTGATTTAATTCCACAATTCAAAAGTTTCAGCTGAAGCTGTATGTTGCATGACAGTCCATTACTGCCTCTTCCCAACAGAAGCTGTAACTCTCAGAATGCGCTGAACTGGAGTGCTGCTACAAGATGAACCTTTGCAAGACACTGGTGATCAGAAATTGGAAGGTGTCATGGGTTTGGTATGTTGTGTAGCCATAGATCTAACATGTTTAATGTGGTGAATTTGAATCAGGACAAAACAATGCCAGGCAGGTTTCAATTTCTGCATGGTATCCTTTTACTTCTATAGGACACCAACAAGTAAAAAAATTAACATAGCGTTGTCCTGCACGTACAGTCTTAAACCTTATTAAGCACAAACGTTTAATGCTGGTCAGACAGTTACTCAGTTGTGATTTGATTTTTGTAGCACATCTGAGTTGAGACTTTTTGTAACCATTTGTCATCTTTAGGAATACAGATCTGATAATGTTGGAGAAGACTTGTGTAAGAAAAGAAATAATTGTGTAGGAAAACATAGAAAACAAGTTAACCCATGAATACTGTAGACCCTAGAGATTCCTTCCTTCCTTATACATCGTGTTTGAAGAAGTTTGTTAATTTACATGCTGTATTAAGTGTGAAAAATTTATTTCTGTACTGTATGTAACTGTTCTCAACAACTTCCCAAGGGAAGCCAACACAAAGTAAGTAGCTGTATATCAATAGCTTTGCTCTGAGCTGTAAGAGGCAGATTGTTATTAGCTTCAGGTTCCTTTAAACTAATAAAGAAACAGAACACTTGTTACATTGCACAGTTATTTATTTTCCTGCTTCAGCACATTTCACACATCCCATAAAAGCTCTTGAAAAATATGCATTTAACTGGGAATCTAAACATACCTTATGTATGTATCCTGTGGCTCATAAGCTGTTGTTGTTTGGATAACATCCATGATGTTAATGGCATGAAGAAGTAAGATCAAAGAATTATTGTGGTTGCTAGAGAAATGCTTGTGCCCCTCTCTTTACTCATTTAACCTATGTTTTTAAAGAGTTCTGTTGAAAAGCTTTCCCTCACAGAACAACTTTCTCCTGTTGTAGAGAAGAAAGCACACTTGTACAGCCCCTGGAAGAAGCTGGTGAAAAGAGTTTCATCTCTCTTTTCTTTTATGAGCGTGTTAAAGTTTCTCTTAACGCTTCTGATTTCTATGGATTGAGCAGTATCGGCACATTGCACAGGCAGACATGCTCAGGCATAGGCTTAGTCCAGGAGATCCATTAGGTTATTTCCTTTTTTTCTTCTCTTCCTAAAAAGGCACACTCCAGTTCACCTTGCTACTGTGATCAGCCTTCAGCAACAACAACAAAAAGAGAATTAGTGTGACATTAGTGTGAAAATATGAAGTCCTGTAGATGCATATACACATCAGACTGTGTTAAAGATGTTTCATTGGGAGATTCAGATTATTAAAATCGACATACTTAGCAGAAAAGACCAGTTATAGAAAAGACAAGAAGAACAACCAGAATGTTTCTTTACATTAATTTTATTTCCTCCTGCTATCATATTTTTAACATTGTGAAAAAGCACCATACAGATTTCACTAGTGAATTTGCATGTGTAATTATTCTGTGAATAAAAGGAGGCTTTCTCTTTTTTCTCTTCTAACATCATATTTGAATTTTGTACCTTTATATCACTGAGCGTGTCCGGATGTCTCAGTTGCCGTTCCACGTTATTCTGCTTCCATGTGAATAATTAGTTTTCAGTTACTTGAATTATCTGATTCCAAAATATCATTAGTATAATTATGCATATATGTCTGATTAATATTGGGTCTAGTTTCTTCCATGTGTTCAGATAGTTTTTTTAAAAAATCATACATTTTTTTCTGCAGCTGTCTCCTGGTTAAACAATAGCGTTGACTTCCTGGGTCACAAAGTGCTTTAACTAAAAGGCCATTACACAATTTTTCAGTTGCAGTTGCACCTTATGACCCACAAAGCAATGCTTTCTCTTTTTTTAAAAATCAGTTCAGCAACATCTGTTGCTGAAGAAGAGAGGATGTTCTTTACAATCAGTTATTTTTCTGGACATTGTGTTTATGTATTTGGCGGGCATCCATTTTTATCTCACTTTTTCTTCTCATGCTCTTTAACACTCACATCCTTTCCCTGCCCATTGAATACAAATTAACATGGGCAGTAATTTGTTTAAAGTTACATAACTGTTCAGCAGCCAGCAGGTTTTAGACTTTATTCAGTTAATTGATGCTTACATCTGGTCCAGTTCCAAAATACCTGAAAGTGATTTTTCTGGAAAGAAAGCCAAAGTTAAGAAGAATAATCCCTGCAACTCAGTTAACTGAGTGTCATTTAGGATTTCATGTTATAAACTGTAGATATGGCCTGAATACTAGTACTTTCTGCTTAAAAAAACCCCAGAATTTAAATAGTCTAAAAGGTCTGTAATTAAAATTTTTTTCTCAATTCAATTAGCTGCTGCATTCTTGTATTTATAGCTGAACAAAGTAGAAAGTGTTGTATTTCCTGCCCAAATTATGATAATCCTCAAAGTTTTATTCTTAAATTTCTGCATTTCCCTCCAAAATACAATATTCAGCTGCAGAACAGTTTCTGACCTGTGAAAGAGTCAAATCATCACAGTTTAGACACATCAAAAGGGTTAACTTGGGATGAAATTATGACACAAGTCATCATTGTTGCTCTGTGGTAAGAATAACATTTATTTCAATAAAAATATTGGAGTTTAAATTTTAATATTTCTTTAGACTGAAGAAGATAAAGGCCAAAATCAGCTTCTCTGCATATGTTTGCATTTTGATTTTCTCCGGATACAATAGCAGTGCAAACCCCTGTTGTAATGAAACTTGTACACATGCAGACGGTAACTGCCCCTAGCTACTTGTGAAACTTTGATTTTCAGTTTTGGTTAAGTATAAGATGAGAACCTCAAAAGAAAAAAATCATGGGGTAGCACTGCAAGAGCCAGAGGGATCCTTTCCCTTTGGTAAACCCATCACATTTGGGAATGTTTCTCCCTTCTTTTACCTTATTTAATGTTTTCCAAAACCTCTGATAGTCTACGTATAAAGATCCAAGATGAATGCAGTATCTAAGCGTACTGTGAAAGGTACCTTAAATTCTTTTCCTCCTTAGATTGGAGGAAGAAATTTCCACACAGAAGTTAATGTAGGCGTGTGTTACCTCAGCTCAGCCCCCCAAAAGCCGGCTCTGGCCGTGCTCACCAGCGAGGACGAGTCAGCCTCTTTCTGTGCTTATTGCAATGGTCCCCTTTTGAAAACTCATAGGTGAGAGAAGCAGTGCCAGGTACTTTACCCATCCTTTCCAAAAAATGAGAATAAAGTGGAGGGAAAATAAAAGCTTGCTCCCTAATTTCATACACCTTTCACAATTCCACCTTTAGTGGTACCTGCCTTCCTCTGGGAAGTCAGCCAGATACAGCTATCCCAGTACCCAAACCAACCGTGTTTGTAGCGTTAGGGGATGACTGCCATGTTTCCCAGGGGTATTCAGAGCAGCGAGAACACCGCAACAACACATGGCCAGCTAGAAAAGATTGATCACAAGTCATAAACTATACTGTGGGGTTATTCTCTGGTATCAAAAGGATAATTCTTTGTTAACAAAAAGCAATTTTCTGTACTTGTCATAATTATAAGAGGGGAGAGATAACCAAAACAGAGAAGGGAGTGCTAACATACTGCAGAAAGGTTGTAATTTATTTTGCAGAAAACACAGAGCACACCCGATATTTTCTAAGAGGGGCAAAGGAGACATGAGTTCCGGGTGAGGCTCTGTAAGCCCCTTGAAGGTTCTCAGCTGTAGTCCAGACACCGACTTGTGCTGTCATGAAGGACTGACACCACCTTCCTTCCTGTCAATAACTAGTGCTTGGTTTCTTTGCACCTTCACAGGAACGCACGTGTATCCGCAGCTGAACTTTTCACTGTTGGCAGTGGTTTGGGAACACAAAGGGGGTTCCAGATCTGCAGCAACTTAAACTCAATTAGTTAAATACTTGGCTGTCATGCCTTGTTCTTTCTGCTGCTGCACGGAGCAGTGAACTACTGACACACTACTGGGGTTTGCTGTGCGGCAATTTATTTGTAATACTGAGAGAAAAAGGTTTGGATAGCATTCAAAGGCTGACCTTTAGTTTGTTTCAGGAGTGGCATGAAAGATTTTCCCTGTTTTTCCATAGCAGAAAGAGACAAAAATGACTCGTAGTATTGTGATCTAGCAGTCTCTCTCAGACCTGCATGACTGGGCCTCTGATAATGGTAAGAAAATCTCATGTCTAATCATCATGCAAAATTTCCTTACATTAAATCATTACTACACATGTTCCAAACCCCACTGGTCCTACTGGTAATAAAGCTTTGTACATTTGTCAGCACCGTTAAGTCATGAGGTTGTACAAGGGACAACTCTATTGCTGGAAGACATATGTTATGCCTTCATAGCTACTGAATTTGCATTAAAACTATTGGAATTTAGCTAAGAGTGTTTTTGAAGCAATCCCAGAAAACAGAGTTCTCTTGAAGCACCTTTTCTCAGTAATTTTCCATTTTCCTAAACTATTAGAAGTAGTAATCTCTTTTCTTCAGATTGCTTTTCTCCACTTACACCCTATTTTTATGTTGTGTTCTGTCCTGTTGTCTTTTAACCAAATTCTTGCTATTGCTGTAGTTTTTAATGACACTCACAAACATTTGTTGTTTTCCAGGAAAGATAAGCCCTTGTTCTGAAATATATAACAGGGGCAGATTTTTCCAAGGTGCTTCAGAATCTGAGAAAATTTTATGGGATTTCACCTGCTTGGGTGGGTGCCTAGCTGCATCCTTCAGTGATTATCTACCTTT